TAATGGGTTTGCATCGGATAATTGGCAGCGCATCTCCTTCCTAATCACGAACGCAGTGTTGTTCTCCGCTTGTCGGATGTATTTTGCTAGAGCCTTAGATTAGCAAAACAGGCTAGTTAGCATACCACTTTGGCTGGAAAAGTAATGCTTTTAAGGACCGATAGTATGAACTTACTCCCCCGAATGCCAGGCTAGTGAGAAAGTCTCTCATCGTGTTATAAGTGGTTGCCGTACCGCGGGGCACGATCTCCCAACCTTGTTCATATACGTAGGTAGTGAATATTCCAAAGATTGGCTATGCTACAAACGATACCGAAAATGTATTCTGCCCGTCGGTCATGCACATACAAATGGCCCTATCTATCAAGCACTAATACGCACTTCCTACGTAAAGTCATTATCTTTCAGCCTTACAAGGCCCTCGAATAAGTCAGTATTCGTGACAGACCCGCTTCCCTTGAACATCGCCATATGAACTTCATGGATGGCTGTTAGAATGTCCAAGGCAGTCGGATTGAATACTGGCACGTCGAAGGAGGTTTCATGTCCGTCGATGTTCAGATCCAATTTGAGTCTGATAACGTGATTGAATACCTTTGCAAGTAGATTTTATAGATTCTCGTCATCATCTTCTACGGTTCCAGGATCAGAGCGCAAGTTCCATGCGCAATCCTCCATCAAAAGGTCGGTACTAAGGGAAGGCAAACGGACTAGCGGTAATCGAAGCTATGCTTCAGCTAATAGGGTAAATGAAGAGTGCGCTATCAGTTGCTTTTTCCCGTAGAATTATCACTCGGATCATCTGTATCTTCGTCCAGATTGTCGTGGCTGTACGGACCAACGTCTACTAGAGACCCCTGTTGCGAGCAGGCGTCTAACCAATCACGGTTGACAAAGTCGACGCTGGAGATCGAATCAAGCAGTTGTGGTTTCTCCCTCACCCTCTTCCTCACTCTCTTCCTCTCCCCCCCTACTGACGCCTGGGCATACACAACCCGGGCATGTGGAGCTCGGACATGGGGCCCTTGCTAGGCACTTTTCCTCGCCCTCCTTAATCTCTGCCTCACTCTCTTCCTCACTCTCCTCACGCAGGACCCGTCTTTCTTGAGAAACGTTATATTCAAGGGGGTCTAGAAAGCGACCAGCTTCGTATGAATCCTAGAGCTAGTCGAAGGAGACAATAGACCCCCCTTGCTGTTCCAACTGGGAACTAGTATGATGCAAATCTCGATATTGATCCTCAGAGGTGCATAACACGGTAGTCGTTGGGAGGACCCGTTTGTGGAACGTCCCGCCGAGGCTTTGGATCACCTATTCGATATCCTCTAGCGTCACCTCAGCGGGCAAGGGGCAGCTGATTGCAACGTTGAAGGTTTTCTTCATCGTGGTGTGCTGTACGGTGCTAGACGTGGTGTGGTTGCGTCGATCGCGTCTGAACGTGTGTCCCAATTGTTTCTGAAGTGAGCCATGCTCCATCTCTTATACTGGAATGCCGTCAAGTAAGCGTGGATAAGTGGTCTAGCCTGGCCCATGTGTCTGATCTCACATGAAGAACTTGGGGTTCGACGATTCATTTCTGAGAGGTTAATACTCGAATTCCGGGTACGCGCCTGCTCGCTGTCAATGAGATTCAGTTATGTACGTCTTTACGTCAGGCCACTGTTAACTTTGAATTTGAATTAGCGGCTGTTACGTGGTGATATGTTGTCGGAAGCGAACTTTGGACACTGACAACTGGCAGCCGCGCGACTAGCGCTTCGTCCTGGCTCTGAGGTGGGGCTGTCAGCCAGCCGGGAACCGGCAGAGAGCGTGTGGGATCAAACGAAGATCACAGCGCCCTGCCGTGGTCTCACCGTTTATCGACTACCTAGTTCAAAGCTATCCGGACGGACACAAGCGATGTGGACATGGAGGCAGTTATGACTTATGGCAGAAGCTCCAAGATAATACAACACTTGTGGTCGGCCAACACGCTATGTCACCATCGCTCGTGTCTTACATAGCTACGGGGGAGTCGTGGAGTGTTGTCATATTAGACTGTATTGGGAGCATAGTGTACATTATCCGCATCTATACGCTATAGAACTCCAAGAACTCCCTTTCATGGCTAAGTGACCTCCCACTGGAACGCACAGATGAGCAAGTGCCCTGCTTGCGCAAGAAGAAATCTACACCTGAAAGCAGCGGTTCGCCAACGAAAGCAGTGCTTGTTTCCGATATAATGACTCGGCACCGTGTGCAGCAGCCTCGGCTTAAGCGTAAGGCGTGCTCATGGCAGGAAATGTCTCAGGCTGCTAGTCACGTGTCGTGGCCAGTATCCCGCCTTTAAGAAACATAGATGGGAATAATTTGTCTGACATATCGACAAAGTCGTAGTCGTTGAACGAAATAGCAGTAGCTTTTTCAACACCCTTCCCGTTGCTGCCACTAGGCGACGGGCCACTGGACAACGAGCTGCTTACTAACATGGTGGCCAGCGGCACCTGAGGCGACATAGATAGCTCTCTGTCCAGGCTTGAATAGGGCTCCGCACCGTCGCTCGAACTGCCCGACAGACAGGTAAAGTAAGATGACGGGGGGGACCCGACAGCCTTGGCGGCCAAGTCAGCCTTGGCGGCCAAGTCAGCCGAGGCGGCCCCCGCAGGCGGACTGCTAGGTGCCGGCGTTGTGGCGTGCCTGGCTGCGACAGTCTCAAAGTTGTCGGGCCCCAAGATGCTCTCTTGCGGGACGGGGGACGCCGTTAAGCTTCGGATAAGGCCGTGCTATGATTCGTAGGCCTCGAGTTGGCCGTCATGACCGATGACCAGCACCGCCACTTTGGCTTTGTAGTAGCCGTAGAACGTGTCCGACTTTTTGAAGATGCCGGTCTTTCGGTTCTCGAAGCCTTTACGAAAGTCTTTGTTGCTCTTCCCGCGCGTCATGATAGAACTGGCCTCTTGCGGAGACAATCAATCGCGGAGATAATTAATAGCAGAACCTGGCTTGAAAGAACGTAGATTGCTACGAGCTGCTTATGAGCTTTGGCTTCTTTGGACTTTTGCCTTGCGACATGAGGCCAAATAGAGCGAGGGAGGGTCGTTGCATTTATGCCGTCTGCAGTGATACCGCCGGCAGCATCGCAAGTGTCGCGCTCGCCTAAATCTGTTTGAATCTATTTACGTGGAGCCTCCTGGACTCGGGGCGAATGTGGCCCGGCGTCTAGGAGGCGATGCCGTCGCACGGCCCGGTTGGTGTTCAGGTCCGGTCTCCCTCCGTCTTTTGCAATCTCAGATCCAGCCGCCGAAACAGGTGAGTGGGGCTATGGGCGCGGCAACACGGCGTTTCGCATGGGGGGGCCGGCGCACGGGACTGGCCAGACGGACGTCCAGGCCATCGCCGGCCGTTGCCGCCCGGTTATTTTAAGCAGCCGCTAGTAGCCTCCAATCTTGATGCCATTTCCGACACCACATTCACCGGCCGGCGCCTCTGATCGGCGCTTATCCATAGGAGCGGTTTACGCGCCATAGCAACAGAGGACGCCCGGGTGCGCCGTCTTGGATCCATCTTGATATTACTTGCGGGTTTGGCCCGTGCTTTCGCGGGTACCGGCGCCGCTTCAATTGCTTTGTCAACTTTGGCATCTCTCCCACCAAGCACGCATCATGTGCCCCATGCCATCCGATCGATGTAGCCCCTTAAACCTGGATCATGCCCGGGCGCGGTGACCACGTATCATTCATTCCGTTTCGCGACTCTCCAAACCCTTCCCCACCTCGACCCTGCGGACGCTGCCGACTGCGACGATGGAGCCTTGCACTACTACATGCTCTTCTTTCTACATCTCATAGTTGCGTCCCTCGTAGCCCGCCCTTGCGACAGGCTTTTCCCTACGTA